TAACACCTCATGTAAAATCATGAAATAAATTCAACATGCTAATTATTCTCTACAAAGATATGCAACTCGTGTATTCACTTAGGGGTATTCTGTGATATCAGAAGCCACTTCTCTGCATTTTTGGTGACAACACTACAGGCCAGGGAGGCTTTTTATTGACTTGCTTGCTTTCATTTGTCCCAAATTGTCAAAGAATAATTGAAAATAATGCAGCACAGCAGTGACAGAGACGAGTAATTCTGAAGGCAGATTTTACAGATATTAACATTGATAAGGGTTGTTTGGTAATTTTTCTTCCATGCACTGTACAAACTTTCTTCCATCAAGTGTTTCCAGAGGCAGGCTCTTGGGGCTTGTGTTTGATGTCTTGACTGTAAGTTTAGCAAACGTGTGTGATGGGTTATTTATAAAGGCCTCCTATGTAAATATTGATGAGCCAACTGTTCAACTAATTTACTCAGCATAGATTTACTGTACGTGTGAGCCAGAAACATAAAAAACTTGCCAATAATTAAAGTGTCTGGATATGGACAGATACTCTGAATTGTGCAAGGTTTGTAGCTGTAATATCCTAACAGCAGTAGTTATCAGCATGTCAAGACAGCTAATATCAGTGCTTAGTTCATTCTTTCCTACAAGTCCATTTCAAACCTTCCTAAAGTGGGGTTGGTCTCTTCTCACTAGTGACAGGACGAGGGGAAATGGCCCCAAGCTGTGCCAGGGGAAGTTTAGGTGGATATCAGGAAACACTTCATTACAGAAAGGGTTGTTAAGCACTGGAATAGGCTCCCCAGGAAGGTAGTTGAGTCACCATCCCTGAATGTGTTTAAAATCCATTTGGATGTGGTGCTCAGGGACATGATTTAGTGGAGGGTTGTTAAAGTTAGGGTAGTATGGTTAGGTTGTGGTTGGACTTGATGATCTTCAAGGCCTTTTCCAACCTGAGCAATTTCATGATCCTATGATTCCTTACACAAGTTTTTAATACAAAACGTAAAATATAAACATATTTGATTGTTCACATTATTTACTTTCCCCCAGAAGATTTTCACCTGCTGTGATCCAGGAATGCTCTTTCAAGTTTGCATGCCACTGAACCTTTGTCTCCTAAGGCCACCTGCAAATGGATCATAGTCCACTTGCTTGTATCCTGTCCATAGAAACTAAATACAGCGAGTCATACCCAGAACACGTAGTGCAAAAACCTCTTACTTTAGTCATATAACATCATGAGGCAAATTGAATAGAGAAACAAAAACAAAAGAGTTTCCAACCTTAGGAGAAAGCTAAAGAGTTCAACAGAAATGTTTCTTTCATTCAAATTGCCTTACCTGGTTTCTGGCCAGTCACTTTTTCCACTGATGTAGCCTCCAACACACATTTCTTTCTTTTCTGAAGCAGAATCCCTTTCACTTTCCTTTGTCCTTTTCTTCTGTTTATTTTTTTGTTTGCATGTAGTTATTTGTCTGTTTGTTTTCCATAGAAGTCATAGTCTTGGATTTCTACCATACATGCTCCTTTTTTTATGAAAGTTTAAAAGCAAAACAATTCCTCATCTGCCATCATTCCATGGTGCCTCTGACCTTACACAATTTTCTCAGCATTGTTTTGCAGCAAGGTCAAGTGATTTCATGATAAAATAGGCATTTGGCTCCAGTTTCATAACAGCCTGGTGTTAGGACCTAACAAGAACTACTGGAATGCCTCAAACACTTTCTTTTTCCTCTTCTCCTCCCTGTTACCACATTTCATAACTGTCACCACATTTCAGAAACCATATATCAAATGTTAGTATTAATTGCCTACAGGCCTTATTGGGCTTGTAGGCAATTGGAGGGCCATACCATGCTCTGCCCTTACTGTGCCTGGCACTTCATCTTCAGCCCTTCAGTGACACTCTGCATAACAAACCATAGAGGAAGCCCTGCATTTAACCTGCTTTTTTTTTCCCTACATTATCTTTGCCTTTCCTCTACAGTGGCTTGAGCAATCTGTCACACACCGGCTCATTCTCCCTTCTTCTTTCCTCCCTCCTACTTTCACATACGTATAACAATCGTTTTATCCTTCCCTTTAATCTATGTACTCTGAACACCTGTCTGCCTTGAGACTGGCTGCCTTCTGATTTTCCTTATGTGGCAGCTGCTTCCTTATTAGCTTCACCTGGGATAGCAAAGACCTACTCAACAGGCTGGCTATTTTGTAGCATGCAGAAAACTTCCATCCCTTACTTGCATAATGCTACACTGGGCAATTTCCCATTGCATTATTTTAATTAGCCTCTTTAACACAACTGCACTAAAAATATTGCAATAACTTTTGTCCAGAGATTCAGGAAATGCATTACATTTACTTTGGTGGAGACTTCAGCTTATCATAACAAAGTCAAATCCTTTGGGTCTTCATTGCATTAGCCCTGCTAGTGAGAGCTGAGCATTAAAACCTCAAACAAATAACAGTTTAATATATTACACAACAGGCAAGCAGGCAATGCCAAGATATAAAAGGCAGAACTTCTGCAGTTTTATTACTGAGCAAGACTTTCTCTTTTTTAACTGAATTCTGATGATTGTTCCATTAAAAAAAAAATAATACAACCAGCTAGACCAAAGGGTATATGTCCTCTGAGTTAGAAGATTAAATGTAAATGCTGAATGGCAGAACCTTAAAACCTAAATACGATATTGTCAGAAGACTTAGTTGCTGTTGTGCTCTTACTTGTTCTGGGCTTAGGAGGCAAAAAGTCACTTATCATGTAAATTAATATAAAATGTCCTATTGACCATGTGTTTTAAAATCAGCTTAGTCTCATCCATTTTAAAAGCTCAAGTCTTGAATATTTTTTCTGATTGCAAATTTATTTTTCTGCTTCTTCCCAATTGCCAAAATTTTCTGCTGAGAAGTGTAATAGACCTTGGTATAAACATAGCAAGAAAAGGGGAAGATTTATCCAAATTAACTGAGATTTTATTGGCTTAGAGATTTGGGGCTTAAAACACAGCTAAAATTCACTATATTGCTGCCAAATAATAAATTTGCTATCAGCAATTGGTATCTCCAGAGTACATTAGTAGTATTAAAAAAAAGCGTAGGGCTTGCTTTACTGGAAGAAAAGGTATTGTTAGTAGGAAGTAATTAGTGACATCTTCATCAGTTAAAATGTCTACAGAGCCTAGGCACCTGTAGATTTTACTCTTAGGCAGGTACTCAAAGTAAGCATTGTGTCTCAAACAGGTAGGATATACTAGACACCCAACTGATCTTGAGAAAACAAGTAAGTTAATCTATAGTTAAATTAACACCTTCCTGCAGTGAAAACAAATCGTAAGTACGAGACAGTGGTGATAGGATAAAAAATTCTCAGCTTTGCCTGGGGAACCCCTCTGAATTTATACTGGCTGACATGAGCTGATTCACCTAGATTGCAGAGAAAGTTTATTTCCCACTCTCCTTTGAGCTCACCCTTGTCAGAGACCTACTCTTGAATGGTTCCCAACCTCACAGTGGAGCAGTATTGCCCCTGGCCTTATCCATAGGTGGAGGGTTCACAGCAGAAGAGTACAAAGGTAGAATCAAACCAATTGTATTTATTTTATCGATAAATAGTGGATAGTGTCTCAGAAGAGGTGTTAAGTTGTATAGATTTCATTTCTATAATGGCAAACTCCTTCTGTTTTGATCCATAAATATCTGACATTGATCTGCAGAAATTAAGCAAGGATGCTGGTTCGGTAGATGGGATAACATCATGTTTTCAAACTACAATCTTGTTTCCTCTTGGTCTTCTCCCAGACAGGGCATACACTCAGCCTCTGCGTTGTTAAGCTATGCTTGGCACTCTGGCAAGCAAGCCAGCCAGACACCAGGAGAAATTCCTATTTTTAGTTTGCCTTCTTAAAAAGAGACAGCCACACTGACATAAATAAGCACAAATATTTCCAGAAGGCTGCATTTCCAGGATTTCTTTCCCTAATGCAAATAGCAGCAAGCTATTATTCAGTCAATGAGCAAACAAGAACACCCACAACCATTTGGTTGAAGTAGCTCCCTGCCACCATCGTGCAGCACATGCTCAAAATGACGGCTGTGCTCAGTGACGTACATGCATAGTGAAAGAGAAGAAAGACATCAGGCTGCACCTCCCCTCCTGGCGATCAGTCAGGAGGGCTGTGGGTATCTCCCTCCTGACACTTTGCTAAATTGTGCAAATTTGCTAATTGGAATTTTGCTTGCTGGAAGAGACATAGGAAGGAAGAGAGTTAGAAAATTCTTCTGCATCTCCAGTGAGCCAGAAATTTTCCTAGAAGACTTTATGCCACATACTCTGCTTTATAGCGGATATTTAAAAAAGAAACAAGAACAACAAAAAACCCAACAAACATCCTATGTAACAAGTACAACCAAATCCAGTACAGTAAAAGTACATGTGGAGAAACTATTCCACAGATGCAAACTAATATGCATTCTTTGGCACACTTTAAGTTTTGTGCGAAGGGAAGAAAATCAATTCCAGAAATGTGAAACTATATTTGTTGTGATCACCAAATATGTTGTAATCAGCTAATGTCAGTCCAGTCTATCCCAGTGCACATGTTTTGGCAGTGTGGCTTTCGTTCCTCACAGAAGGACAGGATAACAGAAAACTCTTATCTGGGAAATAAAGAGCAGAAGGAGCCAATACTTGTGTCTGACAGGAATTTCTGCAGCAGCAGAGAGAGCCTCATTAGAATTTTTCCCATGACACACCACAAAAGATGGCTGGAGAAAACAAAGTGAGATGCTGGAGCTCAGTATATTTCTTTGTCCTTGAGAAGCCCAGTCCTGCTGAATCTCACGGGCTAATGCATGCATAATTTGGGGCAGCTGATTAAGTTTATTGTGTCCCTGACTAAATCGCGAAGAGGGAGGGAGGGAGGGAGAGAAGAAACAAAGTTGGCTTTAATTAAAGCTTTGCAATTGTCTTTAATATTTACATAATGCAATATCATATTTGCCCCCGATTGGAGACTTAAGATAACAGAAGAAAATGACACATTTGAAATCCCCAGCTGAAGAAAAAAAAAAGAAAAAAAAAAAGGCACTTCCCTTCCCCCGCCATCCCCCCAAACCAAATCAAAAGCTCTTGAACAGGAACTGCATGGGGGCTCGGCAAAATGGCATGCCCCACAGTGGGCTCGTGTGGGCTCTGCAAACCCTGCTAGGCCACGGGTGGGCAGCTGCACCTCAGAGGTAGTGCTGCCTGCTGGCCTCACACAGGGAGCACGCTGGAGTGGACTGCTGTGCCTTGTGCCCCTTCAGATCCAAGAGAATATTTGCCTGGGAAAGGAGGCCATGAGCTGCTTGGAAGTAAAAGGAGCGTAAACCTTTCCTCACAGCCACACCAGATCACAGATCCGTTGTTTTAGGACACAGGCTTGTAACCATTTGTGTGTGGAGCATGGGCAGCTCCCAAAGAGGTGTTTTAAGCATCTGTGTGAGGTCCCTCTGGATTTGAGATGGTGGATGTTTTGTTGGTAGTTACATGCAAAAGCAGGTTTTGTTCTGATCCCAGTGCTGCTGCAAACACTTGGGAGGAAAAACATTTACTGCACTCTTCACCATGGAAAACTGTTCTGTATTCTCTGAATTGCCTGATAGAAACAATAAATAAACACAATTACGATCTTTTTGTGAAAAGAAATAATATCAAGGTTGCTGCCAATAAAGAGAATTTCAGCAACTGGGAGCAATAATAAAGTTTCCATGACACTGGACATGCCCCTTCACTTTGTAACATGCCACAGAGTCACGTAAACATAAGGTTTTGTCTGCATATTTTTCTCAGATACATAAGATCTGTATATAACAGAACCACAACTGGATCAATGAGCGCAGATTGTACAGGTCCAGTTTGTATCCCCAAGGTCTTTCACAGGTCCCTGATAAGAAAATGCTGATTTATTTTTGTGATCTAGTCTTAGAAAAGTCATCATTGAAACCTTGCTACAGAAGTTTGCCTAACAACCATGGAAAATCATCTTTTCATAAGCTCAAAAAGTACATAATTCACATTTAATTGTCATAGAAGGCACTGCAGTAAGCCTGTCTTCTTAATCCACTATGGAATAACTCCAAATAGGTCTCTTGTAACTCTCAAGCCACTGCACACTTTTGCTTTAGCAGTTGATTGCAGCTGAGCTGCTGCTAACCTATTAAGAGTTTTTCTTTCACTATCTGGAGCCGGGCAATAGATGAGAGGTTTGATTCCTAATGAAAAGGGGCACACTTCTGTACTCTTTTCAGCTCTCCCACCAGTTTCCTCAAGAGCAGTCACACGTTGTAGGTCAAAAGTATCAGGGTGCTGCATCTTCACATCTGCTTCCTTTGCAGTGACAAGATCCTGGTGTCTCCATGTTAGCAGTCTTTGGTCATCTTGTGCTGAAGAGCCAACAAGCAAGATGTGGATGCTGAGGAGAGGGTTGATCCATCACAACAGCCACCACCTTTGTTCTCCTGGCAGAGAGCCTATGCAATGCCTTTTTTTGTTGGATTGCTGATTATAGCAATTTTTCTATAAATGGTACGCAAACAATAGCAATGAAGCAGCCATAACATACAAAATGCACCTGTTATTATCAACCTTTGTTGGAGCACTAGGATTAAAGTACAGTAATCTAATTTACTTTTCAGCACTAACTTAATTTTTCATATGGATATCAGCATGACTACTTACAGACTTTGATTTTATATTTTGTATTGTTTTGGTTTAATTTTCCAAGCAATGCAGCACAGATAAACAAAACAAAACAAAGCAAGAACAAAAAAAAGAGTGTATGTCCCTCCCTTCAGAGCACAGCTATGACTCATGAATTTTGTGCGTTGACTTGGAAATATGGTGCTGCATCATTCTCACTATGTAATAGCAATAACATACAGAAACCACGCTGATGCTCTAGGCAGTAAATAACCTATTTACTGGCAGGGAGTGCTTATATGTACAGTGTTTTCACTAGCTCCTGAATCAGAATACAGTAGGGACTACTAGCAGACTTGGGAACTATTTCCATGTTTATAATACTGGTCCATTCCTTCAAGTATATTATTTTCTCTTCAATATAAAAATGAATGCTTAAGGTGCACTGCCATCATTAGATACATAATACATCATGAAATGCCTGGGAAACCATTTACAACATCCTTCAAGATACTGTACTATGATCACTGTGACAGTATTCAAAACAGTCCAGTTGCTCGTACCAGCAAGAACTTTCTTTCAACAACCATAGACCTTGCAGAAACAAATGCTGATAGAAAAAGATACATTTTCCAAGACACCAACATTGCTGAAATTCAAGAACCAAACAATGCTTTTTCTTTTTCCATTATTCCACGTGAAATAGTCAGGCTTAGGCTTTTCTCCACATGGTCACCTTTTTGCTTCTGACATAATCTGACATGACTGGAATATGAAAAATATTTCATGATAAAACCTAAGTGGGGCACAGAGAGCAGTGTGGAAAGAGCACTTCTATCCCAAACTACACCATTGAGTTTAGAAAAGAAAGCTGTATAATTTCAAGCATCAGCATGGGCAGGTGCTTTATTCCAGGCCGGGGTATCAACTCAATTTTGCGAAGGAAAAGGATAATGACAGGAAGAAACTGCGCTGTAGATAAGAGCCAAACTGTCAGTGGGACGGAATATTTTTTACTTCCTTGTTGTGGCAAGTTGTTTCATCCTAGCTGTTTGTACATGGATTGCATTTCCAGCCAAATAAAAGTTATGTAGGAATAAGGCAGCTGAATGGGTATTTTTCTTTAGATCTCTTTTCTATTTAGATGATGTTTCAAAGTGAAGATGAGTGTGAAGAACTGGTTGAGGTAGAATCTCTTGCTGTAACTCACCATCTGCCACTGCACAGTGCATTACGACATTTACTGGCTTTACTTAACTGTTAATGAAAAACTACCATCAACAGCTGCCATCACTCCCACTACAGATTGTAATAAATAATAGTTTGTTTGGCTCACATACCTCTTTCTCATGTTCTACAGAAATAAGACCTAGAGAGTTTGTGAAGATTCAGAGGAACTAGAGTCAAGAAAAGATGGTTAGAACTGTGATCAGTTTGACCGACTGGAATTTTGTTTCGCTCAGTCTTGACAACCATTTAAAAATATGCATATGTTGATAAATAGTTTTTCCCCAGGGTCTTTTGCATTGATTGCAGTGGGAACAGGGATAAACCATTGGCCTATTACAGAAAATCCACTGGTCTGTTAAAAATTTAACCATTTGTAATCGCCTATGTACTCAATCTCAAGACTCCAGATTTTTTTCTTGTTTTGATGGCTGTTTTTGTTTTGTTTTATTTTCAGAAATCAGCTATGTTTTACCTCTATCTTTTAAGAAATCATGTGATTCTTCATCTTGAGGTTTTATTGATTAGACTTTCAAAAAACCTCTCCTTCTCTTCATGCATTTCAAAGAAATCAAGCATTCTCCAAAATGTTTAGTGGAAGTTCAGCTGACCTAGATCAATTTGGCTAGACTGAGGAAATCCAACTTTCGAAAATTTTTCTGCAAACATCTGCTTGTGGGCACTGTTTTTAATCCTGAACTGGAATGTTTTGTTATTCACACTTAGAAAAGTAACACAAGCATGTCACTGTCAGTCTGTTAAAGTAACAGTGTTTAGTTCCATGTAAAATCACTGTAAGATTAGCGGTACAGACACATTCACAGCTCAACATCTCCTCCAAGTGAAAAAACCCACCCATGTTATTCACTGATCAGTGTAAAGAGGAACAACAGGAACAGGAACAACCAGTCGCAAAGTAACATGCGTGTAAGCATAAATCCCAATAGAGATATAGATGCAGAAAGCATGGAGCTGTCTGGCACCTTAAATAGGAACACACTTTGTCTTATTCAGACTTCACTCAGACCTTCTTTAACTAAGAACTGTTGAGAGAAGTACACTACAAATTCATCTAGTAAATGGCCAACCTAAGAATAGGTTGAGATACACAGAAAATCAGTTATTCTCAGATCTATTTTGGAACAGGTGGCTATTTTGGGACTCATCTTGTTTTCTTTACCTATCAAGCATATTTCTGTATCAAATACATTTCCACTTTCTTCTTTGAAAAATCCACAGCAAGTATTTCCAAACAATTAGCTATATCTAGAAGTAGAAACAAAACAAAACAAAACAAAACAAAAAAGATTTTCCATTTTGATTTTCATGATTCTTGACACTACAAGAGAAGAGTAATATCTAAATAGAAGAGGATTGAGCAGATGAACAATTTTATTTTAGTGTATGCAAGACTGGCAAGACCAATCCTGGACTACCATAGAGAAATGTGTTATCTAAGTTGTGAAAAAGACACTTAAAATTGAAAGATAGGCAAAAAGGAGAGAGAAACATTTTCCATGGCCAGAGAAAATGTGCTACAGTGGGAGAACAAAGGAGTTCAGACTGCTTAGAACAAGGAAGTCAAGATAAAGTGACAAAATATATACACAGAAATGCTTTCCCAGAGATTTAAAAAAATAATAATAAAAAAATAATAAAAAAAAAGCAGCTAGCAAAACTGTAGACTGAATAGCCAAACACTGAATTTACACCATTTCAAAGGTAAAAGTGAACATTGTTTCCTCTCCTTCCTCTTACTGGGCTCATCCCTATCCCCTCTAGCAAGAGAGATTAACTCATGGAATAACTACCAACAGCAATGGTGACTCATCCTCATTTGACATTCTCAAGCCAGGATCAAACTTGTATTAGACAAGCAGAAGTTAGTAAAATCAGTACACAAATATCCGGATGAATTTGATGGCTTCAAGTGACAGGAAGTCAAAACAAGGATTCATGGTCCTTTTCTAACCCACATTAGACATATTTACATATAATTATTAACTTGAAATGTTAAAAATAAAACATGAAAGTAATGTACAATAAACCTTCTGATAATTTTGAGAGATGTAAGCACCAACTATTCCTTGCACATCAAAGATATTTATGATTGCTGCTCCTCATAATGTAATGCTCTGGTGTTCTTTCCACATATCCTCCCTTTGGCAGTGTAAAGGGGTTTCCAATACTTAGTACAGGAAACAAGCCTAGTTCCCACAATTACAATGCTGTCTCCAGTTCATTTGTTAACCTTCACCTGCTCAACTGAGCTTGAGATACTCTTGGACACAAAGAACATGGGGATCCTATTCCTACCTCTTCCAGCACTCTCTTCAACCAGGTACAGTGTATCTGTCCTGGCTTTATTCTTCTCATATTTGTGAAAATGGAGGAAGGAACATCTTCTCATCATAGCAATATGCATAAACTCAAGTGAAGGTCAATATCTAGTTGTCACACACTTATTTCTTTTTTCAGTATCTGCCCATACAAAGAAAAAATAATAAAAAAATAAAAGAGAGAGGGAGAGGGGAAGAGAGAAGAAATCTTAGTGCTGAATATCTTAAACTTCCTAACTAGGAACAGGAAAATTACTTATTTGGAATTCCTAGGCACAGCTTTGAAACTTGGTTCTCACATGGGTGTAAGAATTACATCTCTAATGCTCCTCTAAGAATCCATTTTATTTTCTTGGAGTTGTATTTGGTCAATTCTGAGATGATATGGATATGACTACTACATAAGAATCAGGGCAGACCATTTGGTTGAATACATGAAATGCTTCATGTAATGCAGTCCCAGATTCACAGCTGGGTCACATCTTCCCACAGCATTAAGGAAATTTCTTGTTTCTGTGAAGTTGCTTTGAGTGAAAGCACCCACTCATTTGCTTTCACAACACTATGGCTGAGAAGCATCATTCTAGAACTGCAGCCACCATCTGCATGCTCCCCCGAACGCTTGTGAGCTCAGATTTCAGATTTGTAAACAGTTGGACCCCAAGTTATCTAACATAAAATGGGCTCTTTCAAATGATATATTTGAAGCGTCACTTATTACTAGAAAGGCTATCGACACCTGTCTTTCCTCAGTATTTCAGTTTTAGATTTGGCATCAGAATTGCCAGAGCATGTCACAGCGATTCGGATGACTAATGCATTAAGGTATTTTTGTGGCAGAGAACTGGAATACTTCCCACAATTTCTCTTTTGTCTTCTCAACAGAGACAGATTATCTCTTCCTTCGTCATTTCCCATTAAGTTCCTAAAATCACAATCAAATCACAATGTCCAAAGATGTAAAGGGCTACATAGCATACTCTCTCCTCCCTAAACTGGCCACTTCTTCTGGGAGTTTATGAACCAGGACTCCACTTATAGCTATGAGGCTATTTGAGGTCCCAAGACCAGCGCTGATTTTGCTGTTCAGCTGCAAAACAAGAAACTGAGGGAAGAGAAGTCTCACAGCTCAGAGGCTGGTGTGTAAGGACCATGATGGTATCCCAAGGGCCCTTTGGGCTTGCACTTTGCAGAACAAGTGGCTTCTGAGATTTCTGCACTCCAAGAGAAATGCCCAGATTCCTATGCGGTAGTCATATCCGTGTCATCTCAGAAGTGGTAAGTACAGCTCCAAGAAAATAAATGAGATTC